GGAGGCAGTATGACCTCTGAAACGTTGGTAAACATCGACCAGACTACACAGCGCAACAACCCAGAAGACAGAAATCTTCATACTCACCGCTGTGAAAACCTCAAATCTTAGAACTTACATAACACTACATAAAAGTCAAGAGGGGGATATATTTGCAAACGGCTACAATTTATAAGAAATTCGTCGTATATTGAAATGCGAGGATTAAACTGGAGCGGAAATGCGAACTTCAGTTTCACTCGATTTCTGTATTATGCGTGTATTTTAGACATTTTGTGTAATGAACGCACAAGGAATATACCTGCATGCGAATAACAACTACACGGAATAGGATTCCTGATTCAAGGCATGGGTATAGTGTAAACTCCATACTTAGCGTAATTACTTCTTTAAAAAAGCAAGCTTCTTAAATAACCATTTGTCTGTCTGCCTTGTTAATTATTTAACGGATATTCACGAAGCTGGTATAACACGCCATTAGAGGTCACACCAACCTCATAAGTTTTAGTTTATTTTTTGTAGTTTGTAAAATTAACTAATCACGTCATGGCGGACGCAGGATTTTACGAGGTGAGTGTAAAACTAGTGGCGCTCATAGGCCTATAGGGTTTTGAAATAATGTACGGCGACAGACAATAGAAAATTATGGAACATCCGTTATGCATATTTATTGTAGAATATAAAATAACATGATGTCTGCATTATATGTATTTTCTGGTTTTATTATGATAACAAATATACCACGTGAAAAATGTGGAAATTTGGTACGGAAATAGATCATAACCATAGCCCTGCTTACAAATTATACATAAAGCACAGTTGATGAGTGAATATTCAAAATGGAGAAGGTGCGAAACTTTGAGGTTATGTCTGACAAATTTAAGATATCCGTAGTTAAGAGTAAATAGGTTTCTGTAAAGAAGACTTACAATACTATAGGCAGGCCTAATTATTTATTCAACCCCACCATAGACTATATTATATGTCGGCATATGCAATAATTTGGACTTACAAGAACGTATATTTTCAGCTAAAGGCACTGAAGCCCTCATAACTATGTTTTATCGTTTCCACATTCCTTGTATGTTACACGATGTCTTATCTGATATAATATTTCGTTAACATTTTTACGGTAACCACGTGCAGCAGAAAATGCATCTGAACGCACAGTAGTTCTGCATAACTTATTTTGATAATTTGAAGTGCAACTGCGTAAGCTGTAAAGAGAAATTCGAATTTATTA